AATCTCAGCACGATATCGTCCAGACGATTGTCGTCATACGTGATTCATGCCCTGTTTTCGGCCGACTGCCCAGTCCAGTGTGCGTTCGAGTGGTGGACTGCTCAGTCCGACTGAGCAGGCTGGTGTGCTCAGGCCCAATAAGAACTTATTTGAATTAATGCGGTGCCTACATTACCGACGACAGGACGAATGTCTACGCAAAGTAATTTTGTTCTTTCTTTGTGTTCTACGCTCCCTGAGCAAACAAAAACGCAAACAAAGCAGCCAACTACTTCGTCCACGGTAGCCGAGTGGTAATGGCTGCGTACTATAAGCCTGCAGGTCCCAGGTTCGATTCTCGGTTGGAGCGATTGTCAAACAAATTTTGCTTTTATTGTTACTTTAATTTTTTAATTTTATTTGATATATCTATTTAATTTTACTTTATTTTATTTCCGTTTGTTTTATTTTATTTCATGTTTTTTTTATTATTAGTTAAATTAAATTTTTAGAGTTTAATTTTACTAAAAAAAGTCAAAAACAACTAATTAAAAACAACTTTAACAAAATATAGAAGTTATAATTGAATGAATAAAAGAAATTAAACGAATAATCTACTGGACGTGGGATTCGAACCTACGACCTCACGGCTCGTAAATCCGCATTACTGTCATCTGTCAAGGCACAGTTTTAAACAGATGATTGGATCATGAAGAAATTAACGATAATCTTAAATATTTTTATGACAATTGAAGTCGGTTTTGTTTTTTGCTTAAAAATTACTTGTTTTGTTTAATATTTCCCTGATCAAAAAAAAATACACCTTACTTTGTTTTTCGACATCAGTGTTCACATAAAATTGACATACACTAACCATTTGTTTCTTTCATATATATGTACATATGTACATATACTTATACCACTAGGATGCCCATTAAAGTGGTCCAAGATACGGTTTGGGGCACCTTCCAACATTTTTCCTCTTGCCGAAAGAGGTGTTGGTACCAAACCTTACGTTTCTTAGTATAAATTTAGAGGATGCTCATATTTTACTCTAGAAGTATTGCGTACATATATTAATCAAACAATTGGTCAAGTAACCTAAGAACATTTCAACTTTAAGTTATCTTAAAAAAATATCTCAAGCTTCAAGTTGTCATGGCAACAGTACCTTTTTATAAAAATCACCAATATTTTACCCGTTTCACAGCGATCCAGTCGCGCATTTCAAGGTCATTGAGCACCCTGTATTGGTTGCACTAGAAAACTGAAAGTTGGTGTAGATATTACAAATATTAAGAGGAAAAAAAATAAGTGGGTGCTCCGTTTTATAGGATGAAAATTTTTTCCCCATACAAAAATTGGACAACTTTAGTGCCCATCGAAAATGCTTTTTTTTTTGGAAATTTCAAGACCCTAATTTTATTCGTTTTTATGAGAAATATTATTGCCTATTTTTTTGGTTTTGCAAAAACATCGACGATATGATATACATAAGTGGGCGGTGCCACTCCCATTTTCCTAAAATTTTTGGAAAAAACTAAATTTTGCTAAAGAGCGATTGTATACATATATCAATTTTGAATACACTGCTCAAAAAAATCTGAAGGTCCGGTACATACACACATATAAATTTAAGGCCGTATCTAAGAAAAGTCTCCTATCATCGACGAATTTTATGCGATTGCCATAAATGAGCTATCAGTTTATTTAAGAATAGATTTAGTTTTAGATAGTACTACCTAAATATTTTGAAATTGTAGAATTTATAAATGGTCAAAATTTAAAAAATTAAGAGAAATATGGTTTTTTTTTAATTTTACCTGATAAGAAATCCCAACAAACCAAGTCCGACAATATATTATTATGTACCATTTTAAAGGCCTATATATTCTCTTCTCAGATCATATTTGATCTTTGAAATCGAATCAAAAATATTCATTAAAAAACTCATACACCCACAAAATCATATTTTCTGAATTAAATCGACAGGTCGCAACCTCTAAATGACCTTTAAAAAATCTATAAAAAAGCCAATAATATTTCTCATAAAAACGAATAAAATAAGGGGATAGGGTCTTGAAACTTCCAAAAAAAAAGTATTTTCGATGGGCGCCCCAATATATGTATACTACGGCTTAGTAGATATTTTGTTCTAGTAAGATACTGGTATATGTTTTGTTTGTGTTGTAAACAAATTATTTCTTACTCATTCACTATGTACATATGTATGTGTGTATTATATTAAGAGTGATGTTCATGAAAACCAGTGACTAATGATCATTAACTGACCCCGCTGGTTTAGTGTTTTCATCATTAATGTGTAAGCTCTAATAAATTTTGTTGGCAGCAATGTTGGAAGATGTTAATGACTCGAACTATAAATGTACTGTAATGATGACGTAATGTTAACTAAAAACGCGTTTCCAGTAAATTAGCGCATTTTGTTTATTAACAAAACCAAAGCCATATTTCGCAGTTTTCCTCACTGCTGTGTAGGACTATGTAAATTAATTCACATACATATATACGTACATAAAGAGGCACATAACATATACACATGTAAATACATACATATGTACATACTTATGTATCTACGCCGCCGCATTAGACGCTTGGAATAGGCCACAGCATTTACATTGGCCATTTTTAGAATAGTTGTGTTTTGCTGCTGTGGGTGTTTGGAACTGTCTGTTGGAATTCTTTGGTTAAAAATTTTGTTCTGTGGCGGTCGATCGTAC